TCTCCCCAAGCCTGTAAAATAAATGAACACACTGTGTCAAAGCAATGTTGCATTTTCTTGAAGGAATGCCCCACCATGTTTAACGCATGTATCACTCTTGTCAATGGAAAATTGCAAAAAAGTAATGCTCCACTACAGCTCTTTTGGAACTATTTTGTTTCCAGTGAATACTGCGTAGACTAAGAGAGCTTTCTTATTGAAGTTATGCTGCGCCCTTTCAAGTCACGTTTCTTCAGAAGGGGCGCTGTCAACCTCACAAAGGTAGCATTTGTGATGTTTTTGTTTAAGCAAAGACGGCTTGCATTTTTTCATTTCAAGTATACACAATTACCGACAAAACATTAGGGCATACTGACTCTAGAAAGCACAATGTAGCAGTACTTGTGCCACATGTGCAGCATGTTCTTTTAAATATCCAACTTGTTTTTCAACAAATATAGTGTCACTTAGAGAAAAACATGTATGTTCTTCAAACTAATGGCTACATTTCTGAAGATAGTTTTTTTGGGATTTTGAAGAGATGCTGCATTTGATTGGAAGATGCCTTGTATGTTGCAGGGACTGTTTGTGCAACGTGTTTCTTCCTTCCAGAAGTATTGTACTTAGTACGTTAATGCATACTTACATGTTGGAAAAAAACACCGATTGATCGAAATCGAAATGAAGAGATATATTTTCAAGAGAAGTGGCTTTCTGCAAAGGAATGCTACCTATTGAAAAGGAATATATACTCCTTTGGCTTAAGAAATGCTACACCCTTTGAATGAAAGTGTCTGTTTGTAAAGCCTGCTCTTGTCACTTAGAATTGGTTAAGAGAAGGGTGCATGTTTGATCGTCTCTTGTAGTCATTTACAGTGTTTTCACTGCCTTTTTCAGGTTTGGGGAAAAGACCCAAAGTTGAGGGATCTTTTTCATATGGGTTGAATCACTACTTAAGGGAACTTTGCAGAGAGGTTGGGGTACTTGGAGGTACGTAAATTATACTTAAGACCTAGTTTGGAAGGGGTACGAACTAAGAGGCCCTAGGACCTAAGAAAGATCTGCAAGATCTGAAGGTGTCCAGAATCCAAAGATTTCATGTGTCACAAAAGGGGAATAAACACTCCGTAAAAAACAATGTAAAGCTTAAAATTGACATTTGGCCACAGTGCCGTGCGCATTCTGTCAATGTTTGAATTGAATTTTGTTGGGAACACAACACAGTAGTCGAAAACGCTGCAAATACCATCAAAATATGTCATTGTATCTCTAGATGAAGCATCATGACTCATGATGATCAAGCATCCAAAGTCTTCAAATGAATGAACAAATGGTGATCGATCTAAAGGTCCTTGTAAGGAGTTTTAATTGCGAAAGCCGTGCATGTTATGTTGGAAACCCTCGCGAAAGTTTTTTTTTGAGTTCGCGAAAGTAAAATTTTATTTCGCGAAAGTTTCGCGAAAGTTGGGTATCATAATCATATATAATCATTATATGTAAAGGGCTGCCACCCCACTGCCGCCCGGGGTCCGGCAGGAGAAGGGCACCAGAGAATGCGAGTAGCAGTAGCCAAGTTTCCAAAAGTGAGGCTTTGCGAGAGCCAAACACCAAGGCCCCTGGTCTTCGCTTTTCCTTCAGTGCACCTGCTGATGGCCGGGGTCTGTGAATAGGGATATTTTCGCGAAAGTTCCGCGAAAGTTATGCGAAAGAGCGGGCGAAAGTCAAAGTGCATGTTGAAGGGGCTCGGCCAGTAAACTTTGCAAAAGAAAATCTGTCCTGAGAAGGGATTCCGTGATGCTAGCTGCATGTTTAAAAGGCTACCAAGAAGTGATCCGTGATTCTCCGGGGTAATTTGGCAGGTGGTGAACGAATCTTCATAAGAGGTGTTGTTGGCCAACATGGGCCCCGCGAAAGAAAAACATGGAGTTCGCGAAAGTTTCGCGAAAGTAAAATTTTTATTAGCGAAGAATGGCCGTTCTGGGATAAAGGAATTTTGATCAACAACCAAATGATGGCTATTTTTGAAGGCAAAAACCAAAAATCACTGTAAAACACAATAAAAAATCGACACGGTAGGTTTCAGGGGGGTTAGCATATATATATATATATATCTATGTATATATATATATGTGTATATATATATATGTATATATATATATATGTATATATATGTATATATATATATGTATGAATTAAAAATATATATATACATGATAATATATATATATATATATGAATTTTTAAAGATATATATATATATATATATATATATCCAAGGTATACTTACTTGGAAATGCTTTGTCAGAAAATATGTTTGAATAGTGTTTCAATTTGTTGCTTTTTCTCAGTGTAGCTCGTGTGTTTTCCTGATTTTGTGGACTGAACGTGTCAAGAATAGATTGGGATGATCGCGTACTGGCCCATGTATTGAATTTCTTTGAAGGTGAACCAAACTGTGGTTCATCATTCTTCCCGTGTGCCTTGCAATTCTGGGGGATTTGGCGGCATACCCCATTTTCAGACACACACACAGACATGCACACACTTGGATACACCCCGAAGGGAGAAGGTGAAATGAGATGAGATGAAATGAATTGTGACATGTGGCTACCATGTATGCAACATGACCATGGTACCTACCCTAGAAAACGCATGACATGACATGATAATCGGCAAGCCGGTTCTTGGGTTCGCCGGATCCCATACAGAGAGCAGGTACAGGTTGATGCGTCCATGAACCCTTCCACCACATCTTCCATAGCTTCGTTGGGCAACCTAGGAAGATGGGCTGTTGTCCCCCTGCTGGTACCCTTTGATTCAGGGCTTTCCACACACACAGCAAGCCGCTGGGGCACAATTTTGCGAACCAGAAAATGGTCCTCAATCTAGCGTGCTGTTTTCCAAGGTTTTGTGTTGTGACATGGAACATGGTGCTCAAATGTCTGTGACGTTGTGTTGCTTGCTCCAACATAAAACCAAGGATTTTTTCACGGCGTTCAGCGCAAGTTCCTGGGAAAAGGCCGATAACAGCAAACCACTGCATCAAAATTTCCGGCTGTTCAGCAAGCAATCAACGACCGACAAGCAAGGCTGGTAACGGCATGGTGCTGTTTCCCTCGTTGCTGGGTTGTGACATGGAACGTGGTGCTCAAATCGCTGTGTACATGGGTCATGGGTGTCCCCAATGAGGTGTGGTGTTTTGCTCGCTCAAAAAAAAACAAAGGAGGTTTCACAGCGTTCAATGCAATCTCCACTGAAGAAGGCTGACAAAAGCAAACCACTGCATCAGAATTTCCGGCTGTTCAGCAAGCAACCAACGACTGACAAAAAAGGCTGGTAACGGCATGGTGCTGTTTCCCTCGTTGCTGGGTTGTGACATGGAACGTGGTGCTCAAATCGCTGTGTACATGGGCTATGGGGTGTGGTGTTTTGCTCGCTCCAACAAAAACCAAAGGAAGTTTCACAGCGTTCAGTGCAATCTCCATTGAAGAAGGCTGACAAAAGCAAACCACTGCGTCAGAATTTCCAGCTGTTCAGCAAGCAACCAACGACCGATCAAAAAGGCTGGTAACGGCATGGTGTTGTTTCTCTCAGTGCTTGGTTTTGACATGATTGCTAGGTGAACATGAATCGTGGATGACACGTTGAAATCTGGGGATGAAAGATCTGTATACTGGCGAATTCTGAACATGTAATCTGGCGAATTCTAAGAAATTCTGCTCCTGCTGGAGAATTCTGGATGATTGTGCGAACTCTGGATGCTTGTGCGGACTTTGCTTCTGGCAACATGATGTCTGGTAAATTTTGAAGTAATCTGGTATCCCCGGGGGACGCACCACCAAGCTTCCCCGGCACTTTATCAGAGATCTGGGTGCACGAAAAGACACACTTGGATACACCCCGAAGGGAGAAGGTGAAATGAGATGAGATGAAATGAATTGTGACATGTGGCTACCATGTATGCAACATGACCATGGTACCTACCCTAGAAAACGCATGACATGACATGATAATCGGCAAGCCGGTTCTTGGGTTCGCCGGATCCCATACAGAGAGCAGGTACAGGTTCATGCGTCCATGAACCCTTCCACCACATCTTCCATAGCTTCGTTGGGCAACATAGGAAGGTGGGCTGTTGTCCCCCTGCTGGTACCCTTTGATTCAGGGCTTTACACACACAGACACACACACACATACACATGCATGCATGCATGCATGCATGTATGCATACACACATGCAGACACATACAGACACATACAGACCCATACAGACCCATACAGACACATACAGACACATACAGACACACACAGACACATACAGACACATACAGACACATACAGACACATACAGACACATACAGACACATACAGACACATACAGACACATACAGACACATACAGACACATACAGACACATACAGACACATACAGACACATACAGACACATACAGACACATACAGACACATACAGACACATACAGACACATACAGACACGTACAGACACATACAGACACATACAGACACATACAGACACATACAGACACATACAGACACATACAGACACATACAGACACATCAGACACATACAGACACATACAGACACATACAGACACATACAGACACACACAGACACACACAGACACAGACACATACAGACACATACAGACACACACAGACACATACAGACACATACAGACACGTACAGACACGTACAGACACATACAGACACATACAGGCACATACAGACACATACAGACACATACAGACACATACAGACACATACAGACACATACAGACACATACAGACACATACAGACACATACAGACACATACAGACACATCAGACACATACACATACAGACACATACAGATACAGACACATACAGACACATACAGACACATACAGACACATACAGACACATACAGACACATACAGACACATACAGACACATACAGACAGACATACATACAGACATACAAACATACAGACATACAGACATACAGACATACAGACATACAAACATACAAACACACAGACATACAGACATACAGGCATACAGACATAGAGGCATACAGACATACAGAAACATACATCCATCCATCGATCCATCCATCCATCCATACATAACATACACCACACGCATATACATACACACACGTATACACACACACATACACACATACACATTTTTTTTTTCGCCGGGTCTTTCAGCCAGCAACCAGTCCAGTCGTCCATGAGTCATGGGTCTTGAGGCTTAAGCGCATCAGCAGCCGATGCAGTGGCTGTGTCGTTGCTTCTTCTCCAACTAGCAGCTGTTAGTCCCGTGGGATACTACGCACCTTGGCAGATGTCGGGATAGCCTCCACATGGTGAGTTTTTCCAATATGAACCATATATGTATATTTATATATGTATATATATATATATATATACAAAGAGTTCAATTACTGGAGGGCAAAACATCTTGGAACTCTTAAAAAGATGGATGGGACTCGGAAATTTGATGAAACATGGATGGATTGCTCACCTATATCCTCTAACTATATCTTTAAGAGAACTGTTGGTTCGCAGCCAGAAAAGGATGGTTTTTTTCCTCAAGAAACGATTATTCCAATAGCTCTGTGCATAATCGCATCCTGATTCGCAGCTCGGATGACGGGAAGGCTTATATACAGGAACCCCCAAAATATAGTAAATATAGCGGGATTTCTCAAGTTTTCCTGGTTATTTCATATGTTTTACCCATTTTTACTCATAGGCTGACAGAAACGAACGGATCCTGAAGTCCACAGAATGGAATTTTCGAAATACAGCAGATTCCACGTGAAGAAACGCAAGAGACACCTGTAGACCCTGCAATTCAGCCTCCTGATTTGATAGGCATTCACCTGCCTCTCCAGTTCACGCTTTATTTTTCAATTGGTTGCTTTATGTGGTTTGAACATGGTTTTACGATGTTTTACGCAAATCTGGTTTGCGGACTGAACCGGATGAATTATTTGATGGGCTGCGCGTCGCTTCCACTGTAAATGATTAATTCAGTCTGTAAGTCTCCATCCCAGAGATAATGAACACAGGATAATACAGCTATCCTAGGTCCTAGTTCCAATCAGATTCTCGCCACCCTTAGCAAATGGCACCAAAAATATGTTTCTATGAAGTTCCCCAACTCTACTGTTGCGAGGGGATGTAATACAAGCCAAGTTTGTAAGTCAACCAGAGCCACATATGTATAATATGTGTATATGTATACAATGTTCATCAATGTAACATCATGTCATATATCCTGACACTCTCCCCTAATTTATCATAGCCATTGAACCTTGCCATTTATAGATTATTTTCCCATGAACAATATGAACATATATGAACCATGGTGAATTTTCCATAGTAAACTCTTATTTTACCAGAGGATATATCATGTTTGTTTGCCATTGCTTTGGAGCGATGACATCATGAGTCCGTGCACTGCAGGACTCCGTCTCAGCCCTGATCGTGGTCCTCGTCTACTTGTGTAGCGTGACCTCAGTGAAGTTTTTCGTCAAAGACGCCATCAATCACGGCTTTGCTTATCCGGCGTGCATCACCGGTTCTCATATGGTATTCGTTTGCATCACGATCTTGGCGTGGGGTGTCTTGGAGTGAAGTCAGGGCGAGGACGATTCGAAATAAGTGGAATGGTTTTAAGAACCATCTGTCGGGGAAACTTTTGGCGGTGTGAAATTCAGGATGGCTCTCCCGTCCTGCCAACTTTATGAAACTGCTACTGTGTAGGAGCAACAGCCAGGTGTGACCAATAACGCTGGCACCCAAAATTCCCACCCCCTTGCAGCTGCAGAATCAGCCCAATCTGAGTCACAAGATTGTTGTGCATTTGTAAAGCGAATCATTCTTGGTGATCTTCAGCAGGTCTTTGTGAGCAGCCTTAAAATAGGGAAGCCTCCAACAGCTCAGGAGAACGTCCTCGATGGCAGGAGGCCAAGGCAGTTTTGCCCATTTCCCTGTTGAATGGCGCATCACTCTTGACCAACAATGCAGCTTTAGTCTTTGGAGGCGCGCTGGCGTGCCGAGTTTTTTGAGTGATGCAACTTAGATCTTAGATTCATAGATGTTGGACCGGATGATGATGGTTTGTAAGGGGAATCAATAAAAAACAATTTCAACATCTTTGTTTTGGAACTTCAAGTCAAATTCAAGTAGCATGGTTGAGCTGGGAAAGGTATCGGGTGCCATGTCTCAAGAGCTCCAACGGTAATAGCATCAACGAAGTTCTTGGTGTCCAAATGTCATTACCGTTACTGTGATTTTAGGGGTAAATCTGTGTGGTAAATCCAGACACAACCAGTTACACCCAGTTTACCCAATGATGCTTCTAGAGCCTTCTACACATAACATAGCGAAATTGTGGCCGTGGGGCCTTGTACACCATATACGAAAGATGGCTAAAGATGGGTTTGTCTGAAAATAGGGTAGTATAGGGTACACCAAACTTGAAGATGTTTTACTATATTTTCCCATTAAAAGACAATTTTGGGTAGTATACCCCATTGTCAGACACACCCAGATGGATGGGCTATCGGCGCTCTGACAAAGGCCTAGCCTTCGTGTCTATGATTGATGCCATGGGACCCTTTGTGACCTTTCTCTTGGAAGCTTGGCTCCAGTTCGGATTTCGGCATGGAACCATGTGGTCTAAGGGGCCAATTGCGGATATACCGTGTGGACCATTTTAAATCTGATCCCGTTGTTCTATTAGATCTTTCAATGGTATTGTTTGATGATGTACCCTCTGGTAAACTAACATAACTATGGAAAATCACCATTTTTCATGGGAAATTTCACTATAAATGGTGGTTTTCCATAGTTATGTTAAATTACCAGAGGGTAATATTTCAGATTGGGCAGAAGGTTTGCTGACGTGTGGATGATCAGAGGTGCAGTCACTCTAACTGCTCTAACTTGTCGAAGTTCCGTTCGGATATACCTTTTTTTTGCATGGAGATATGTCGGAACCTTTCTATTCAGCCTATATAGTTGCATAAGATATATACATATGATTATATTATGATCACACATATATATATATAATATATATATATATATACTTTCTTAGTGAATACTATTCGTCAAAATCTTATTATACAGTCAACAGCCAATGGTCAGCCGACCTTGAAAAAAAAGGCTCTAGAGATTCAAGCAATTGTCATTCCAATTGCATCTCCAAGGTGTCCCCCCCAAGTATCATTGGGCTTCTATATTATGACTCACTAGAAATTAGTGATTCATGAATGCCATTTAGAAATTAGCATGTTAGGAATTGATTGAAGCCCCATCATTCTCCATCATTCTCATTAATTTTCAGGAAGTGGCGAAGGGCAAACGACCCTGTCTCCACCTGATGACCATCTTCTCCGTGACCATCGCTTCCGTGGGCTCCGTGCTATGCGTTCGCGGGGAAGCCAACACTGTGCCCTGCAAGATCCGAGGGAACTACCCCCTGGGATTGTCGTTTACATATTTTTATTGGAAAGATCCACCATTGTTCATGGGAAATTTCACTATGATAAAAATGGACCATTTTCAATAGCCATGTTCAATTAACAGAGGGTAGGTGTTCTTATTTCGTTGCTTCATTGATATATTGATATGCAATTTCAGGATCTACATATGTCCCTGTGACTTCAGTAGACTTCTTGATGATGGTTCCTTCAATGGGGAATGCATGACATTGTCTATGATGCAACCTCACAACTTTGTGCACATATTATTTGGGCCAACCTTTGGTTGGTAGGTGAACGGGTCATGTTTATTGCCTTCTGGATGAATAAGTGGATGTTGAATTTGAAAAAAAGCTAGCCACGTAGCCGCAAAAAAGACTCAATCAGGTGCATGACAGTACAATCCTACTGACTCTCTTGGTAAGTTGAACATGTTCTATTTGTTGGTGGCTCACCGTCTATCTATATCATATAAATATTGTGTATAGATATAATTATATATAAGTATACATATATATATATTCTACATGTTTTATTTTTGTTTACATGACATTACACGCACAACCATTGAATTGCAAATTTGAATATGGAACGTAAATTATGCAAATATGGACTTATACTGCATCAATTCTTCCATAATATTCAATTCATCCATAATGTTACCTGATTGGATTACATTGACTACATCATATATACATTTCATTAAATACATTAAAATATTCAATATATTACATCCATTACATTGCAATACAGTAATTACAGTACATTACATGTTCATCACATCAAGCATTATATCTCGATATGGTATTTATATATATATGATATACTGCATATATGATATATGCAGTTGTATTTACTAAAAATAGTTCTTGTTTCTGGATGTATTTCTCCATGCTTTTTGTATCCCCAGCATGAAGAGAGCGGGCGAGGTGAAAGGCATCAGCGCCATGGCCATCAGCTTGGCGGGACTCAGCGCCGTCTTGCGCTCCATGCGGGCCGTGTGGCAACACGACATCCTGACCGACAAGTCCGTCACCGTGTCGCTTGAAATAGAGCGTTACTAACGGTGGTGCCCCCGTTGAATAGCTAAGTTGGTGAACATAACTCCAATAACTCTAGTTTATAGGTGATACATCTATAGTTAATGGGCTTATAACCAATTTATAACTGGGGGGGCACCAACTTGTATAGGTATTACAGGGCAAAATAGGGAGTTACCCTCTGGTAAACACACATAGCTATGGAAAATGGCCATAGAAAGAGTTGATTTGCCCATTAATAGCATGGTGATTCTCCATAGTTTTGTAAACGTTTACTAGAGGGTATACTACCTGGCTGCCCTGGTGATGAAATATGGCCTGGGTTATGAAATAGCCTAGTTGATTGGTGACCTTGAATAGGGAGTTATAATGGCTTATGGGATTGTGATAAGTCATATGAGGATTGGGTTATTTTCAATGGCTCGGTTGATCCAATTTGAGTTGGTCCGACACCACAAATTAGATTCAGCTGGGGTTGAAGCACCAGTTTACAGGAGTCGTTTGTTGGTTCTGAGTTGTTTTGTTCGTGTACATATGTCATGTGGGATCCCAATTGGCAACTAGTCCTGGGATGGCAAGCATGGCAAGCATGGCAAGCAGCAACAAATCTGGGCGTTTGGCATCCTCTTTGGTTGTGGATAGCCTGCTGCATCCTGGTGGTTGAAGCCACCAACCAGTAATTGTGATAGGGTGCGTTAAGTGGGTTCAGTTTGACCACTCAGAAGAGGGGATATGATGTGAGATCATTATAATATATATATACATTATGATCATGTGAAACACATCTAAAACCAACTGAGCTCCAACACATTGGGACCACTCGGATAGCAGCTTGCACCGAGGTCGCCCTTGCACTTGGTCTTTTGGAACGGTTTTTGGACATTTTGGACGACCGTCATCACCATGATGTTCACCAATGAGGGCTTTCAGGGCTGCCGGGCTGCGCTTAGATATCTGAACAAAAACCCAGCTGAGCTCAGAGACTTGCCCACTCAGATGAGCTCAGATCTACTTAGAGATGTGAGACTGTAACAATATAATCCCTATGCACTGTACACACACATAATATATATATATATACATATAATTATATAAATATATACACAGTACATGCATGTACATGCTACAGTAATTGCATCTAAGGTCTATGGAGCATTTTTTGTAGCACTTCATAGCACTTCAAGAGTCGGAACCCATCAATCTGAATGAGGAATGTGATTTCGAAAGTTTCGATATGTTTCGATCGGCCAAGGCATTCAAAATCTGGGCACCGTCGCCACTCCAGCCTTGCTATTTCTCCTCCTCTCCATCCCCGCGGTGCCCCGGCGCGAGTTCAGAGAGGGACAGGGACAACATCCACAGATCATGTGGTTTTTCAAGATTTTTCAATGGTGAATTCTCCTGGAATATGTTTCAATATTTTTTCTATGTTGGTGGTTTGGAGCATTTTTTTTTCCATATATATATATATATTGGGAATTTCATCATCCCAACTGACTTTCATATTCTTCAGAGGGGTAGGTATACCACCAACCCGATATAGTCCTGGAATTGGTTGATGTGCTCTACCTGAAACCGGGGAAACACACCTCGGAAACATCGCCGTGTTTCCCCGGCTGAGGCGGTGACCCTAAACATCACCCAGTGGTACGCGGTGAAAAAGCACGGTGCACTGATGCAGAACATCATTGGGAACTTGAACTTGGTCACAGTGATTGCCATTTCCAAGGCCATTTTGTTGGAACCTTGGATTCCAATGGATTGGTTGAAAGATGTGTAAAGTTTGAAGATGCCTTTTTTTTGGGGGGGACCGGTTAAACCGCTTTTTTACCATCAAATCAATCGGGGGGTTCCTGAGTTTGTCCATATTCACCATTCATGATGGATGGTGATTTATCCCTTGGCATCTGTCCAGATTTCCGTGGAGATTTGTGGCAGTTTTACCGGCTGGTCGTCGATCTAGTTTTCCCAAGGATAGTCATAGGATAGTCATAGTGGGGAGTGTGTTAAGGACTGAGACTCTATCGGAAAACTCTAGGGGAAAATCACAGGTGTTCAATGTTTTACAATTAGGTCGATCGGTTTCCTGTGTTCTTGCCTTAAATGGAGCCAATGATGAAGTCCTTAACTTATCTTAGTCGTTCTTAATCTAGTTATTCTCCTCGTTCTTCAGGAAGATGTCACTGTTTCGCAGTACATCGGGACGTTACTCCTTGTGGCCGGCACGATCCTGAACAAAGCAGTGGATGTTGAGCAGGCACATGCCGGAGAGGGGAAACAGGCATTGAAATAGAAACTTTGATTTGCTGAAGGAAAGCCTCTGGTAATTTAACATCATGTATAATATAGCTACAGAACACGGATGAACATGACCTGTGTACATATGCTTACTGTTAAGAACTGCCGATTTTCTATATGTTAAATTACCAGAGGGTTTTTGATGTTTTTGTTTCCCTGCATTCTTTTGAATCCACTGGGGAATCTAATTACAGATGATAGCTACTTTTTTTTTTCATAGCCTGATGGTGAATCCAAGGAGCATGCAGACGCAGGAAAACATTGCCATGACCAGCCCGTTCCTGACTACTTCTGACTACTTCCGCACTTGTCAAAAGCCGTACGCAGCTGATGGGAAGATACGGGAAGGTTGGGTCCAGGAGTCTCTCCAAGTGCTGTGCAAAATGACATGTCTCAAGCCAAAACTGTGTTGAATGAATATTAATACATTTATCTTAAGATTCTGCTTTTTGTTGAATGGTTGCGTCAATTTGCCACGGCCTCCAATTCCGTTTCGAATTGTGACCAGCTTCGCACGATCCAGGGAATCCAGGCGAAGTACCAAGTTTCCCGCCCCGCGGGTGGCTGAATGTTGCACGATGCAGAGCCCAGGATCTCATCCCTTTCAGATCCATTGTGCAGTGTGTTCCATCCATTTCTACAGAACACCATAATATCATCTCATCCCAAGATGAACTAGCCCTATTGATAACCTCCATATAAACCCGATAATATCGCATCCCCCGTTCTTGTTGAACAGTATCAAAATATATTTAACAGCCCTATATGTCATAAATATGTGATTTCATCTACTAAACCATGGTTAAAGTGCCTAATGTGCCAGGTTGTGTCCAGAGGCGTGGGGCGTGCGGGTAAAACTGACCCGGGGCACGAAACCCAAAGATGTTTATATAATATATATATATATATGGATATAATTCAGTGGAGATACAATGGAATATCATAGGGGTTATCCTCCGGTATTTTAACATAGCTATGGTGACTCATCAAGTTTCAGTGGCAAATAATATATTATAATATATATATACAGATAGATGTGAATGGGTGATTTTCCGTTGCTATGTTAGTTTCTTCAATGCATAGTATGTTGTGTGGTCACCCCACCAAAAATGACCAGCATGAATCGGATTCCCTAATTTTCTGGGTATATTGTTAACCGTTAACCCGTATGAAAATCGGGGGATGACCATCTCTGAATTTATCGGAAAATGGATGAAAATGGCACATGTTTTTACCATGCCACGAATTGTATCACAGAATCATCCTCTTTAGGAGGGTGCCCCAGGTTGACCTAAAGCCATGCGGATTGTTGCAATTTAAACTCTTGGAAGCCAACATATGGAAGAGGAAAAGACTCGAGAGACATATCAAAATGGCTGCAAAATGTGGATGGCTCAAAACACACCATTTCTGGAGGATTGTTTCAAGACAACTGATTGTGGAAAGCTAACCAGTTCTCAGGATTTGCTCTTTTGCATATCCAGGCTGTGAACCAACCCAATTGGTAGACCTGTAGATGGGTCACAGTAACACCATCATTTTTATTCATTTTTTGTTGCCATTGGAGATGATATCTATATCTATATCATACCTGTATATGTATATTATATATATATGTATATGTATATAGTATATCGTATATAGTATATATATATATATCAATGTGTATCCGATACACCACCTCTGGTGGCAAAAAATAGGGATGGTCTATGTTTCACAGGTTCTCCACCCCTCAGGACTCCAACACAGCAGGGGGAGGTGCTACAGTTTCCAGCCGGGGGCCTTGCTGTTGGATGTTGGATATGATGGATATTTATGAATTGCGTTTGGATATGTTCATTGGATTGGGCTATGGGAAAATCTACAGGAAACCACTTCATCAAATTCTGGGATCGTACCCAGCTACAGGCTGTTGAAGGCCGATGCTGAATGAGCTTAGAGGCAAGAAAGCATCAAACCAAAACGTTTATGTTCTTACGATCTTACAGGTACCGGTTGGAGGACATGGCAAGCAAGGACATCCTGCTGGTCATGTGCCCATGTGCCCTCAAATCCCATGGTTATCGTCCTGTTAGTCTGTAGAACATTGGAAAACAAGATGGGTCAAAATCAAAACCTTATATTGCATTTTATTGCCATATGTGGGGGAATCAACATCTACTAATCAACAATTTTATTATTTTGGGGTGCCTGGGGCACCATGGTTTTGAGTGCTTTTTGACCCATAACCACATAAATTGAGACTCCATTCGTGGAACGGGGCACTTCCAGTCATCCGGCTTCCGCAGCCGTACGTCTTAAGACGTTGCTGGTTCGGGCGAGACAAGCTGCGCGTTGCACCCATTGCAGCCATGTTGGCGGCTGCATCCATCATGCAGGAGCCTAGCTACAAGGCCCCAGATCCCCTGCGCAGAGATGAGGATGCTATGCTGCAACGATTCGAACAGGTGGACCCTGGTGGACCCCAGATGGCAGATGCCCAAGAATTCTGCTTCTATCAGGTGCCCTTGCATAAATCGAAGCAGAAATTCGTAGATTTTCATAGATGTTCCACATACTCGTAAGTGGAAACCAAGGGTGCGTGTTCTTTCAAATATTCGCAATTCAGCACCTGTTCTTTTGTCCTAAGATTTGTGTGATCCCGTCCCATGAGTCGAGGTGAGAGAAGACCTGCAACACAACTGGGCGGTACACCCTTGTCATCTGGCTTCTCCCAGATGGGGAAGTGAATCAGAATAAACCATCATTTTGAATAATATCATGAAGAAAACTATAGGATCAATCATTTCTAGGACGTATGTAGTAGGTGTTTTCTTAATGCATTCATGCCCTTATCATTTTCTGAGGTCTGAGATGGTGTGGGGTAAGTTAAGGTAAGCCCTCAGCAACAGCAACAGCCTGGTGTGAAGTCAGGATATCTATGGCAGACGTCAGAGCCTCCAAGTGGGACCAAAGACATTCAAGGAAGCCGTGGATCCTTGGTTTGGTTTAGTCATCTAGAAGGTGTAGAACTTCAAAATATGTTGGTTTCACCCACTGGCACGATCTGGCACGTAAATTGTGAATGGTGTATCATTACCCTTCGAAGAAAAATGAATGATTTACTCAATTTGTCTCGTAGAATTGCATGGCCTTGCAGTATGGATATGACCGATATGACTCTATGACTGACTCCGCATTCAAAGTTTCTTATACCGAGCTGTGGATCCAAAAATGGATAGCAATTTCAGGAGAACTTCTGGGGCACCCAGATGATAACCATCCTATCACTTCCCCAAGAGTTGGATATCATAAATCATACCCTCTGGTGCTAACAGTTAGCGAACTGGAAAATGACCATAGAAATCGTGGATTTTCCCATTAAACATGTTGATTTTCCATAGTTATGTCAACGTTTACCAGAGGGTAATTCTCAAATATATGAACATGTGGGTTTTGAAATGGAAATTGGTTGCATGCTAAGACTAGGTTCATGATATTTTCGCAGAACTGATGTTCTTTCTCAGTTCTGGCCATGTGAGAGACTCTATTTCCTCAGGCCTCCCATCAATTGGATTCAATTGAGGTGTACGAAATTTCATAAACTACAAATTGGGCACATTTGGACAAATGAATTCGGACATTAAATGTCATAAACCAAGAAACAATGATGTACCTAACCGACCTAACCATCAAGTGTCCTTATTCTTCTTGGGGTATATTAGTGCAGTTGAGAATACTAACCACTGACAATGATTCGACATATTTGGTTTAGTATTAATGAGTTCGTTGGTGTGGCCGCAGACAGGGCCAGTATTGCCACTATTTTATACTATCTTGGGTATCCACCAGAATAGCTGGGCACCTCATGACCCTTGTGGCAGTGTATCGGTTTGTCAGTTTTTCTCATTTCAGTTTGTCATGCCTGGACAGTGAGGCGTAAGCATTAATGATTATTCATGCTATCTTAATCATGATACATAAATTAGGGATGGTGACCATCAGGGCGGTCGATTTCCCCAGGGTGGTAAGCAAAACTGGCTCAGGATCAATTGTCCATGATCCATGTGTCAGAGATTCAAGAGGTGAACCTTGGAAGAAATCCTTACCGGACCTTCCCGGTTTGGGCGGGCAGATGTGACAGATGTGAGCAAAAAAGGATTAGGTAACCTCTACATGATGGAACATGCCTTTTAAATCCTTTAAATGATGAATGATCATCATGATAATGCAGACACACACATATATACATATACAATCATATATATATATATGTATATCTACATGTGCATACATAGATGCACAATAGATGCATACACACACAACCACACACACATGCATATATGAGATCTGCTCTAAAATGCCTTTAAGGAATTTTCAGATCCGAAGGCCCGAAGGACATAAATACTTGGGCAGGGGAGCATGTTAAATTTCATTTGAAGGCAGGGTCCTGTATATATGCAGTGAAATCGCTTTCCTGCAGCTTAGCACTAGATTTGCGGTAGTGTGGCGCTAGATACTTTTACATATGTATATAGATATATATATATATATATACCCAGGGCGTCAACGTTGAAGTTTAACTTCAACTTGGACAACTGGCAAGTTTTGGCTGCAAAACTTAGGCTTTGTAAATGCTAAGTTTTTGGGGATCCCTGGCTCCCCTTGCCCAACTTCATGGCTCATAGCTGGGCAACTCCTGACCAATGCGGAGGGCCTTGAGGAGGAGCAGGGCACCCCAGCTTCTGGATCTATTGGTTCCAACACCATCCAACACCTGTCCCCTGGTTCTCGCTTTTTGATGGATTCTGAGGGCTTCATGGTGAGAATGCTTACAGACCTGGCGAAGGTGCTTCCACCTCTGCCACAGGATATTGGAGTTGGTGTGGCCCAACTTCATACCAGGAGAGAATTGAGTTTGTCTGAAAAACCAATTTAGTTTATGATATCCAGAAAAATATGATCAAGCGTTATCAATTTCTTGGGGTACTTTATAAATTGGCTTTCAGACAAACTTTTTTTGGGGTATCACCGAGCCAATCCTTCAACTGATTGAAAAAAATGGTTCGGTTCGAGATTGGATGAAATCATCTTGATGTCCCATCAAGAAACATTTTTTTGTTTGGATTGTTTTTTGGGTGGCCCTTTGCAACCTTCTTGAGCCACACCTAGTGCAACCCAGTGCTAGACTTTGCTGGATGCAGTCTGGGCTTTCAAGCGATCCACATTCGATTGTAAGAGAGGTAAAATAAATCAAAAAGACACAAATACAGTATACTCGAATTACAGTTTAGGTATATAAGTAAGTGCTTGGGTTGATTGAAATATTCACATGGGTGCCAGACCACACCAGTCTCACTTGCTGCCGGGCTATCTCAGCAGAAGCCATGGCGTCCAAACCTAGTGTTCGGAAGGGTTTGTTGAAGGCTTGGGGGAAGTGCAAACTGGTGATCCCTTTTGATCAATTCATGGACCAATCATTCCCAAACAAATGCCCATGCCAGGATTTCTACGACAGCTACATGGCCAATGGATTCCGTGAATCTCGTTTCCTGGACATTGCCAAAAAGGAAGGGTTCCCAACCAACCGGATTGAGAGATGCCTTTCGACCGGGCAGGTGCCATGTTTAGTCCGATTATCCATTGTGTTTGTAACTTCGGGGGTTCATCGTTCATCTTTGGTTCCCTGACCTCCCTGTCCTATTAGTTGGCCAAGAAACGCCATGATGACTGCAGGTGCCACCGCTTGAGTTCTCCTTCGTTGAGATCACGAAGAAAGGAATGAAAGAAGAGACCGCACAGCCGGCATGTTTGTATCCTACCCAATCTGTTTTTTATTTCCAGGGAATTGTAAGTTTATGGTAGTCGCATTCTAGCTATCTAGTTTTTGTGGCGCCTCGGGCCAGGTGGAAAAAGATCTCAACACAGAGTTTCTCTTAGCATGGCTTCCTTACTTTGCTGCCGACCCACCTACCCAAAAAGAATGTGAAGTGCCCCAGATGCAAGTTCAAATTGGGGATCTTCATTGGTTCCAGGGTAGCATACGTATGTTTCACCCCCCTTTTCGCCCAAGGAAGTGCTGCAAGATGTTGCAGTTTCTTGGAAACTGGTGGATGGAGAGCCGAAGTCTTTGAAATTAGAAGACGCTCATTGTGCACTATGGTCTTAAGATGTCTTAGGGTAGATATTTGTGGGGCCTTAAAACTATATCAAATCGTCCCCCTGTTTCTGCACTGATCAGGATTGGGCTTCGACAGAAGCTGGGCTTCATCGCTGTTTGAGTTCATGGATCCTTTCCAGCTATACCAGAACACCTCTTGCTAGGAGCGGGGTTGTGGCATTCTTTGAATTCGCAATAGCATCTATTCCGTTTACAGGAGGGCTGACTCCAACATTGCGAAGCTGAAGACATTCATCGGTGGAATCTACAAGGACTGTAAAATGTCAAAAATGTCACAACATGTTCATTTGTGCAAGAATTGGAAGTACTGTAATGTCAACCCCAGATTAATACCCCATGGTTTATTCTTAATTAGGGTAGTACTCCTCCAATAATCGTAATCTAATGCTTAAACGGTACCCTTCCAATTAAACAGCCCATGGGTTTATTAATCCAGGGTTGACATGAGATGTCGTCATGCACAACAATAGTGTCCCAGTACTCTACCCCAAAACAAATATGTTTTTCATTCACAATCAAATCAGGAGCATGGAATTGAAAAGCGTACAAAGTCTATTCGAAAGCCTTCCCTACAAGATCAGCAGGTGGGCACAGGGTTGGGGTCATCTCAATTTTGGAACCGGGTCTGGTTGAAATTTCCCATCAAAACTTTCTCCGGTCTCCATCGGCCTTTTCAGTGCTGAATTTAGCCATCCAAATTCGTCCAACTACTGTCGCAAGGAGGCAAAGAAAAAGGATGCAAAAGAAGCAGAAGAGAAGAGCGCAGAGGAAGAGGAGGAGGTTATTGTTGAAGAAGAAGAAGAGGAAAGCATTGCCGAGGATGATGAATTGGTTGAAGTTGAAGATGAAAGCAGTGATGAGGGACTAAAAGCCGAGAAGTTCCAGAAGCAGGAAGACACAAAGGAAGAGGACACAGAGAAGCTAACAAACGAAATGGCATCTATGGAATTGAAGAGTGCGGTGGAGATGGAGACGGAGTCACAGGAAGCAAAGGAGAAGTCGTCCATGCAGGCAAAGCGGGATGCTGAACAAAAGCTGAAGAATGCACAGGAGTTGATCGATGCAGAGAAGAACATGAAAGCTGCGGAGTTGCAGAAGGCAGAGGAGATGAGGAAGAAGGCAGAAAAAGCGAAGAAGATTGCTGAGAAGATGGTTGAGGCTGAGGAGATGAGGAAGAAGGCAGAAGAAGCAATGGAAGCTGCTGCAGCAGAAGAAGTGAGGAAGGCAGAGGAGATGAGGAAGAAGGCAGAAGAAGCAAAGAAGCTTGCTGAGAAGATGGTTGAGGCTGAGGAGATGAGGAAGCAGGCAGAAGAAGCAAAGCGAGCAGCTGCAGCAGAAGAAGCGAGGAAGGCAAAGGAGATTAGGAAGCAGGCAGAAGAAGCAAAGCGAGCTGCGGCTGCAGAAGAAGTTAGAAAGGCAGAGGAGACGAGGAAGGAGGCAGAGAAAGCAAGGAAAGCTGCCGAGGAGATGGTTTTGGCAGAGGAGATGAGGAAGAAGGCAGAAGAAGCAAAGCAGGCTGCTGCAGAGGAGATGAGGAAGAAGGCAGAAGAAGCAAAGAAGCTTGCTGAGAAGATGGTTGAGGCTGAGGAGATGAGGAAGCAGGCAGAAGAAGCAAAGCGAGCAGCTGCAGCAGAAGAAGCGAGGAAGGCAAAGGAGATTAGGAAGCAGGCAGAAGAAGCAAAGCGAGCTGCCGCTGCAGAAGAAGTTAGAAAGGCAGAGGAGACGAGGAAGGAGGCAGAGAAAGCAAGGAAAGCTGCCGAGGAGATGGTTTTGGCAGAGGAGATGAGGAAGAAGGCAGAAAAAGAAAAGAAGGCTGCCGAGGAGATGGTTAAGGCAGAGAAGATGAGGAAGAAGGCAGAAAAAGAAAAGCAGGCTGCAGAGGAGATGAAGAAGGCAGATGAAGCAAAGCAGGCTGCAGAAGACGTGAAGAAGGAGGCAGAGGAGATGAAGAAGGCAGAAGAAGCAGAGCAGGCTGAAGAAAACGTGAAGAAGACAAACAACTGCACAGAGGCAGAGCAAGTGCTTCTGCTTAAGAAGATGTTGGAAGAGGAGAAAATGAAAACACAGGCTTTGCAAATGATGATTCAAAGGCAGAAAGATGAGGAGGAGGAAAGTCTCGAACAGGAATTGGAGGAGTTGCGCAAAGGAGCAACCGGAAGGAAGCGCGAAATGGTTGAACGGTTATTACTGTCAAGGGTGAAGGACCAGGAGCCTACCCCCGAGGCAGGCAAAACAGAAAAGGCAAAACCAGTAGCTGAATCCAAAGAAGACGATGACCAAAGCAGCGAGGAAGACATGAGCGTTCAGAGTGAAGCGGAAGAGGCAAATCAGAAGAAAAGGAAAGAAGAACAAGTTTCAAGGGGAACTTTCAAGGCACCAAATATCACCGGATTTTGCAGGTTGTAATGGGGCTTCAGCCCATGTGTGCCCACACCACGTGAAAACATGTGCCACGTCTTGTCACACCCTGCAGGACAGAAGGCCTTTGATTGCAAAAATACCGGCCCTCAAATCTGAACTTCTGCTTGGAGATGAGAATGACCATCCTGACCTTTTGAAGGACCAGTTACACTGTCATTATCTGCGAGTCACTTAAGTATGAGCTATTTCTGAAGATTTCTGAAGTAGTGGTGTAGGAACATTGCATTTTGCGCTCCTGTCTTGCATGTCCAGGAACAGGCTACGCTGCGAAGGGATGTAAAGAGAGGAGCACCTAAGGAGGAAGAGGGAGATTCGTCAAAACCAACAAAGCCACAGCCGAAACGACTGAGAAAAGCGAAGAAGCCAGAGAAATCAAAGAGAGCCGAAGAGGGTTCAAAGACTGATGATGATGAAGATGGCGCTCAGGAGTCAATGGATGAAGCGCTAGAGAGGGAAGATGCCGAGTTGAAGCAGGAAAGGGAGCTGGATGAAGAGGAAGAGGCAGATGCAGCACCAGGAGCTCGCAAACCTGTCGTCCCAATAGGAAAGCCACCCAGAAGGAAAGCAAAGAAAAGTGCAGGGGCACCAGCAAACGGTGCAAAAGGAGCTGAAGCCTTGGATGCTGATGATGAGAAGAAGCCAAAGGAAAAGAAAAGAAAGGAAGCAGAGCAGGAGCAGGCAGAAGACAAGGGACCTGATGATTTGAATGAAAAGAAGCCAGCAAAGTCAAGAAGGACAGGCACAGGCAAGGCATCAAAGGTCAAAGCTGAAACCGGAGGCAGCAAGGAAGATCAGGAAGGTCCAAAGAGATCGGAGGACTCCAGCATGTTTTTTGCAATTTTAACACTTTCGGCTTGACTTTGAAAACCAAGTTTAGAAATCAAAACCTCCAGAGATACAGTGAGAATGGACCCCTTGAGCTGCACCATTCTTTCCTTCATTCTCTTGGAGGAGCGTGCGGCCCTCGCTGCCAAACGTGAGGACTGGACTGTAAGTGTCTAGCTGTTGCTTTCTTGTCTCCTAAAACCTCCTACATCCTGCCCTTGTTGTTTTTTAGTTTCAATACGAAAAGCCAGAATGCCAAATCCCAGAATGAACCGAGGATGCCATACACAAAATTATATACAGACCAATAAATTAACTAATTAGTGATTGACAAATTAGAGATGCCAGATAAATTATGTAGATCTAAATTAGTGATTGACAAACATATAATCCATTTAACTTGAATTTGTCAATCACGATTGCCACCAATCCTTTGCGCCCTGCTCTCCTCCCCGCTGAAGGAGTTGCGTCGCTCAAACTATGAGCTGGTTCACAGAGTCCTGGCACAGGACTCGGCAAAGACCATGTATGTGGCGAATGTGCTGGACCTGGACAAATGCTCTACCGGGTCATGCACACAGTATTGTGCATTACCTCCTTTTGTCTCGACAAATTAAGTCATCAATTGAGGGTTGAGAGGGAATCAAATTTCGCAGTATTCATCGAAACTTCTCAGGTCGTGGACTGCGCATCCCCCTGAAGAGTACGTGAGTGAGGAGTTGTATCCCAAAGCCATGCCCATTTCGACACTGTCTTTCCCTTATTTGCTTGCAAAGCTCATAACTATCAATTTCAATCCCTTCATGGGCACACTTCTAAGGCTCAGCGGGTCCTTCTACGTCAAGGACCTTGACCCCAACCATTTGGAGAAAGTGAATTCAGTTTTGGGCACTGAGTTCAAACGGAATGCCCAAGAGGGCGTCACAATCGCTTGGAAGAAAAATGGTGGAGTTGATAAAGCGTTGGGGACCTAGGCTGTGAAAACAAAATTCCAAATTTTACCAATAAAATTCTTTCTCATCGCCCAGGTGGGACTACAGCCGCGCCCTTGCCCAGTGGATTGTGTGCGAGCCTGGACCTGAAGCATAGTGGAGCCCTGGCCCTGGCAGGAAGACTGTTGCAACACTGAACCATTGAAACCACACTTTTCACTTGGATTTCTGAAAAATTATCCAGTTTTGGCCAGAGAGGTCCAATGCTTCAAAAGCTGTCGTAACAGCTACAGTACTGGATGAACAGCGTCGATGTAAGCTGTCGAGACTTTAGGGGCGTTATGTCAGTTGAGATCTTTGTGACTCAACCTGGGGTTTCAGAGAAGTGATGAAAAGTGCAGTGCGCAGTTGATCAAAAGACTTGAAATGATCATGCAGCCACACATTGCAACATGAGGAATGGGTTTCTTGGTTTCTCTACTGCTATCGAATTTTCTTGTTCATTGCAGGGTGGCTCATTCCGATCAAGGCCTTGTGATAGATAGTAGTGGCAATGGCGCCCAGTTGGAGGAGAAGCACCTTAGCGCTGACACCATGCATGGCCATGATGCTGCTACACCTGGGTTGTCCACATGTCCTGTCGAAGGCCTAATTCAGTTTCCAGTACACACTTTGATGATTTTTCAACTCTGAAAGATTTACAAAACAGAAGGATTGTGGGCTGAATCTATCTTGACTTTCCTGATCTTCCCTGAGTGGATAACCTAGTTGATCTATCTGTTGTGAACTTAGTTTGGACTGTTGCGACTTCGTGGCCAAGTCCGCACACATGGAGTTTGAGCGGGTCTGGTATCCCAGTTTGTGAAGCTGTCGCAGTTCCAACTATAGTTCTTGAGAATTAAAAATGTGGATAATTTGCAGGTTCCAGTAAATACGCTAATTCTATCTAATTCCAATATTTGATTTTTGCAGGTGACAGGTTGAACTTCTCCTCGGGGATGTGGCTGATGCTCTTCTCAAAAAGCTTTTAATGGCAACATTTCTTTGATCCACTGGCTTGGCCACTCAGTCTTGCAGTTGCCATTCTCAATTCCGACATGTTGTCCTCCAACAACTGTTGCGATATCCATGGAGAAACCTCTCGCTCATCGATTGTGAGGATTTGGATGCATACGATGTCTTCGCTGGACAGAGAAGTGTGAGCAATGGTTTCAGTCAAATGCTCAACCAAGACCTGCGTTTGCTGAATCCAGTTTTAGCCTGATTTGATCTGATATGATGTTAGAATGGACTTCTTACTAAGGCTCAATGGGAATGGTGGCGTCAGATCCCTCATGAAAACAATTGACCTATGCATTTATTTTGGGTGCCAATTCAACATCTGAATTGCCTCAGTGCCATGTTGAGTCTGACCCTCTTTGAACACCTTCTTGTACTATTATTATTGTTAATTTATTGTTATATTATTATTCTTATTATATATGTGCTCTTGCGTTTCTTACTCGGCATGGGTGCCATTAAAAGAATGAATCTCCGCCCAGGGGCTACTTTGAGAAGGAGGCGAGAGGTGAGACCAACGACATATGCACTGTGTCTGGCCCCAAGTCATTTTGATTTCACTTTGGTGGTCTTACTAGAGCTATCTCACTAGCTTGAAGTTGGACAATGTTTGGTCACTGCATAGCTTAGGCAAGGATTCTTTCAAGCAGTGCTTGGTGTGTTGCGCCTCAAACCGGACTCACTTATGCATATGGGGTCACCATGCACAAGCTTCGTATGGGTAAATAAAGCTACCCACAAACGTTCTGCAACTGCTCCATACGGCGACGAGTCCAAAGACTATGTTTCACTGGGGTCACTGCCACTAGACTTCAAATGGTTTCAATTGCAAATTTTCAATGGCCAGGAACTAACATGTTTGTGAACTTAGCCATGACAATTCTTGCTTAGTGATTTCTGCGCCGAGGATTTGTTCCAGAGCACTGCTCTTAGTGGCACTTGCCACGGTGAGGGGAGCATATGTTACAATTGAGCAACCAAATTCTTCGTCTATGGGTTTTTTCCCGGACCTGGTCATGCTGGCAAGCCGTGTCAAAAAACTGCTTGGTTTTTGGAGATCCCAGTTTTTGCCAGGGGCCCAGAATTAGTATAGTGAACACTTCAAAATGGTTGGCCTTGCTATCAAGACTTGAAAACAATGCAGTTTAGTCGTGTCCAAATTCTTTCTGAGTTGGATGGCTACATGGGGATCGCCCACACCAAAGCCGAGCAGGGTCTGGGGAACCTGGCCAGTGCCTCAAAACAACTCACCAAGCTTTGCCGCACTATCCTGCGCAATTGCAAGCCAGAGTGAATGCAATGCAAAATTCAGACTATGGAGTTCATATCTTTGACAATCCATAACTGTATTGAAATATGACATAAATCTTCCATGATCTTCCACTGGGGCCAGCTTATGTGCTGAGGGGGTGGATGTCAAAGCTCCGGAAACCGTTGACAAAGCTTCATCGCTTAAAGCTCAAGGAAGCATCCAAACACTTGAAGGTTACAGTCAAGAAGAAAAAGGCTGATGGCTCTGTATCAGTGTCGATGCCTTAAATTCAAACGATCAGGTTTCACAATGCAGCGTTCACATGGGAGAAGTAATCATAATTTCAGACTGATCTGATTTTGTACTCCAAGGACCGGAGGCCCAGATCTAAAAAGAACACAAATCTATCCAGTTGGCTTTGGTTTACGATTGGCACAGCTACAGAAACAACACAAGGACAGATGTTGTTTTGAACTAACTGTAGTCTAGTATTACAATCCATTGGGCTTCCTGCCAGGATGCAAACGGGTTACGGCTGCAAGCAGCTGTGAAATCTGCTTGGCACAAACAAAAGGGGAAAAAACCCGCATTGGCCTTATGATGCCTTATGATGAGTTGTTGCATTGGCTGATTGCTGTATATATTTGTTGAATACATACATTATACCAGAATAATCCACCCCCTTGGCCCAGGTACGTGCCAAAGGAGCTTGGAAAGCTGCCAATTTGAAACAGCTCCGCAAATTTATTTCAAAGGCGAAAACCAAATATGGTGGTAAATTCGAGTAGTGGCCAAGAAGGGCCAAGGTGACCACACACCCAGGCCCGTTCCTGCCCAAGGGCCTGTGTTGCAGCCTGAATTCGCTGGCCTGCCAGCGATTTAAGCGGAAAGGTCATGCAGAATGTTCTGGTTTGGAAATCTAGGGCATACCAAACATAGTACCAACACCACTTTCAGGGTACTTGGGTAATGTTCAGCACTGCTCGCAAAAAATCCATTCAGCAACCCTCGCGTGAAGTTTGCGTGAAGTTTGCGTGAAATGGCAAGTTTTTGCGTGAACTGGCAAGTTTTAGCGTGAAGTTGCGTGAAGTGTGACCTTTCAGAAATTCACTATTTCTGATGGATTCAAACTCGGGTCTCACACCAAATTGTGGGAATCTCTGATGCAAATGTAAAAAATGTACCAAACAGCTGTGTTCACATACACTTTATCATGCCATATCATGCCATATTTTGCAATTGCACAGGTGACAAAGGGCGAAATCGAAAGAAAAACAACTTTGGTTTGCAGCCATTTGAAATTTTCCAGGGACTTTGAAAATGGACGCGGAACTAGCGGGCCGCGTTCGGGCAGCAAGGGCTCTTAGGGAGAAGCTGGTTGCTGAAGAGATCCAACGAGCTCCAACACTTACACTTGGGGAGTGCATCTTGCAAAGTTTAAAACGTTGTTCACAAATGAGGTCACTGTAATGCGGATTTTGGGGTGGCTTTCAACGCGCCAGGACACCAAAAGAAGAGCTAAACCATGTGGCTTCTGAACCAGCAGAAGGTGTATATACTGAAATCACCTGGGTTACTAGGGTTTTGTCAGATACCAACTGTAGAAACTCTTTTTGTAAAGTTTTGGATTGCAAATTATGCCATCCTACGTCTAAAAATCAATTGCATCAACTACTTTTGGATCCATCACAATTTTTGAAGGCAGCTGTTGCACTATCTACATTACCAGCTTGTGACCATAACTGAATTTGGCTACTTGAACCAATTTTTTCAAAAGCGACACCAAGTATTGCATCTTTTGCAGGTGAAAAGAAGAAGAAAGTGGTCAAGCGATTCGTGAAGAAGAATAAGAAGGTCAAAGGTGAAACGAGACCAGTCAGCACTGCTTGCCCAGGTTCAGGTAGTGATGACTGCCCAGATACCCTCCGTATCGATTCGCCCGAGAGAGTAGATGATGATCCAAAAAAACGTGAGTACTATGAAGGTGGATACTCTCAGTGGCGTGAGCATTGTGAGGACCAATGGCAGAGTTGGAACTGGCCCCCGCATGGGTGGGCACCGAGCACTTGGCAAAATGCCTATTGGGATACCAAGGACCCATACCACAAGTACAAAGAGTTTGATTGGAGTGCCCCAAAAAAAGATGATAGCACCCGTAGCACTTCACCACCTTCAGTTGCAAAGACTTTGTTGAGCAGGTCCAGCAGCTCCAGTTTGACCCAGAGTTCAAGCCAAATCAGCCTTGTTGCAGAGCAATTGCGACGCAGTTCTACGGGTGATCAGCTGTCTTTGCAGGAAAGGCTTGAGCTTGTTGCTCTGGAAGAGAAAGAAGATACACCACCGCTGGCCCAGCAGCTGGTTTCCCAAGCAAAGACCTTGTTGAGACAGGCAAAAGCTATGCAGAGTCCCAGCGCAGCAACACCAGATGATGTGATGACGAGGGCGGTAGAAAATGAAGATCCAAAGGATGAACAGAAGCAACCCGACAGCATGAAGAGCACCCAGCATGTGGCTTATCTGCAGGCCATTGAGCAATCCGAAAATATGATCCAGAAATTAAAACAAGAAAATTTTGACACCAAAGTGAAATATTGGGATGCCAAGAACAAGAAAGATATGGCAGATATGAATGTTGCAGATGCCATGCGGCAATCTAATCTTGCTATCCATGAAGCGAACCAAGAGGCTGGTGGGCCCTGTGCTAGCACATGTGACCGCATCAGCAAGTTGGGTTCGGAAGTGGTCGACAAGATTGCTCTAGCAGGGCGATACAAGCAAGAATGCAAAATGCACAGCACGCACAAGAAGGTGTTGGAGAAGCTATTTGACATGGAGCAACGAAAACTACAAAGGTTGAAGTCGGGAGAGGTGGAGACAGACGATGACGAGCAGAACTACAAGGAACTTCAGCAGTTAAAGAAAGATGCAGAGAAGGCAAAGGTCCACTATGAAGATGTTTCGATGATGAAAGCTGAAGGTGAAACACGAAAAGCTGAACAGAACATGAAAGAGAGTGAAATGTATGAGGAAGAAAGACGAAGGGCCCAAGAATTCAACGAGGAAATGATGGACCTGATGCAACAACAAGCCGATGAATATCGCGCTCGGAGGATCCAGGAATTGGCTGACAAATTGCTTGCTGAGGAGATGATGAAAGATCAAGCAGAGCAGGCTGCAGAAGACGCGAAGAAGGCAGAGGAGATGAAGAAGGCAGAGGAAGCAAAGAAGGCTGCTGAAGATGCAAAGATGGCAGAGGAGATGAAGAAGGCAGATGAAGCAACCCAGGCAGAGGAGATGAAGAAGGCAGAGGAAGCAAAGCAGGCTGCAGAAGATGCGAAGAAGGCAGATGAAGCAAAGCAGGCTGCAGAAGACGCGAAGAAGGCAGAGGAGATGAAGAAGGCAGAGGAAGCAAAGCAGGCTGCTGAGAAGATGATTGAGGCAGAGGAGATGAAGAAGACAGATGAAGCAAAGCAGGCTGCAGAAGACGCGAAGAAGGCAGAGGAGATGAAGAAGGCAGAGGAAGCAACCCAGGCTGGAGTAGACTCGGAGAAGGCAGAGGAGATGAAGAAGGCAGAGGAAGCAAAGCAGGCTGCAGAAGACGCTAGAAGGCAGAGGAGATGAGGAAGAAGGCAGAGGAAGCAAAGCAGGCTGGAGAAGACTCGGAGAAGGCAGAGGAGATGAAGAAGGCAGAGGAAGCAAAGCAGGCTGCAGAAGACGCGAAGAAGGCAGAGGAGATGAGGAAGAAGGCAGAGAAAGCAAAGCAGGCTGCTGAGAAGATGATTGAGGCAGAGGAGATGGAGAAGGCAAAGGAAGCAAAGCAGGCTGCAGAAGACGCTAAGAAGGCAGAGGAGATGAGGAAGAAGGCAGAGGAAGCAAAGCAGGCTGCTGAGAAGATGATTGAGGCAGAGGAGATGAAGAAGGCAGAGGAAGCAAAGCAGGCTGCAGAAGACGCGAAGAAGGCAGGGGAGATGAAGAAGGCAGATGAGAAAAAGAAAGCTGCAGAGGCCAAAGAGACCAATTGAACAGCTGAGCAGAGCGCAGGAGTTGCTGAAGATGGCTGAGCAGCTAAAGAAGGAGGCTGAGGATATGCAAGAGGAAGAAGACGAAGAAGGAGAAGCACAACCGGCCAGCGAAGAGGTGAAGCAGCCAGACAAGGCAAAGACTGCAGCACAAGACACACTGGCTAGCGAAGAAAATGCCACTAAAGAAAAGACAGCTGACGAGAAGGAAGAACAGAGCCAACAGGATGAATCGCAAAAGTTGATGGCCCAAGCCCAAGAATTGATGAGGAAGGCACAAGCGATGAACCAGAACACCGGTAATGATGGTGGTGGGGGCAGCAACCTGACAGAGACACCAGAAGAGGAGATGGAGCAAGCATTGAAGTTGGAGAGAAAGAGACTGGACGCTCATGCAAGGTATATGAGATATTACAGAAACATCCGCCGTTGGTGCCTGAGCTTTTGATGTGAATGCATATCTGCATTGTGTACATAATATGTGCGTGTATGTGTGTGTGTACCAAAAAAGTGCTATGCAGCATTCTGAACCCCTGCATTTTCAAGAAATTACTAGCCTAGCGCCTGCCTAGATCGTGATACGCCGATCGAACTACGCAGAATGGGGGCTGAGGCCAAAGGAAGTATCTGGGTTTGCATTGTGTGGCTTTAAAGGTAGCATGCCAGCAAACAGTTGGCATCAGCAAGTTTCGAAGTTTCGAAAATGTTTCATCTCCTTGTTCCTTATTCTGTTGGCCCATTCGCTGAGGCAAATCCCTCAACAGCATTTTGTATGATGCTTGGAATGCTTGTGGTGAAGGAAACTGGTCAGAAAGCAAGTTTTATCTCAGCGTGAGAAACCGGTTCACCAAGAAAAGAAAAGGAGTGAGGAAGTGGCTTTTGCCAAAAGAGATGGATGCCATTTTTGGCCACAATGTTGCTGAAGAAATCAGAACCCGCAAGCTCATGGTCCCTGAGCTAAAACAAAAAGAAACGCGGTTCCACCCAGAACTGCCTGATGTTGAGGCCAAGCTACACGAACAAGCTTCCATGTCTAGCAACTGATGGAATATGTTTCATGTGTCTACAGGAAATCATTTTTTTAACCGGTTTTCTTGTTCTGGCCTGGCAGGAGCACCGGCAATTCTTGACGCTGGTGGAGGATGCTGAGGAGGAGGAAAACTGTGAGGAGATTGACCGACTCTTCAAAGCAGTGGACAAAGATCAGGATGATGAAAGCGATTCTGACAGCAGCAGTGCCCCCAAGAAAAAGAAACGCAAGGCGCTGTTCTGTGTAAAGTCAGTGTCTTTGCAAGTCTTTGACACATCCATTCCAGCTATCCATATAGTTTTCCGACCACTTCCCTGGCCACCTTTCAATTTTCAGTTTGTTTTGTAGGTAGTGTGTATCATTGTGCCTGCAAGGTGGTGAAAGAATCGAAAAAGAGATTGAACAGTGATTCCAGAAAGGAATCGAAAGAAGAGAAGTCTCATGATGCTGAACCAGAAGAAGACAAGCCAGCCAAGAGCCCCGAGAAGAAGGCGAGCAAAAAGGACAAGAACAATAAGAAAGAGAAGAAGGAAAAGAAGAACAAACGTGAGGAGAATGCAAAGCCTGAGACTGAAGAAGAGAAGCAGGAGCGAGAGAAAAAGGAGGCTGCAGCGAAGTTGCAGAAGGAAGCCAAAAAGGCAGGCTAGTCAATCAATTTACTCTAGCAGTTTATGGTGGTTTATCCTCTCCGACATTTTGAGGCTGTCTCTGATGCCAGCTCGAAGATCAAATGGGCAATTGGCTTGGAACCGAACATCGCACACTTGTACAGCCCTAAGCTTTTTGCTTGGGACAATGATTTTGGACAATCTTTTTGCAACAAAAGCAACTTTTTCAATAACGCGGAGGAGTGAGAAGTTTGCAGCATCGGTGAAAGCTGATGTGGACGAAAAGAAACACGCTACTGAGGCCATTAAAAAATGTAGCAAGTGGGACTTTTTGGATAGATCAATCTATAACTTATCTATCTACCCTGCCACATGTGGAGGAAAAGCGCGGACTGCTGCAAAAGGCCTTGGACCTTGGCAAGGTGCTAGTGTGGTTGTGTCTGTGTGTGTGTGGGGTTGGAAATGTGATTGCATGTGTGGATGTGCAGTTTTTACACAACATCTGCTTGTGCTAGTGCTTGTCTGCATTTCTGTTGTGATTGTGTGGATACCCTGTTGCAGGTGCTATCTGAGCAAATCAGAGACTTGGATGCTTCTCGCAAAGAGCTTGAAATTGCCTGTGAGCCTTTGAAAAAAAGGCGAAAAAAACGAAGTAGGATTTTCACAAATGACAAAACCTGCAGTGTGACACCTAGATCCTGAGATGCAATTTCTATTTCACTTGTCGGCCGAACCAACTAATCAGTCTTGAACAAAAATCGACCAAATGTTTTACAGTTTTTCATCGGTGCATTTCGGGTGGGGTCGCATTGCAAATATGGTGTGCAGATCAGAGCGCTCGCTGGCATAGATCAGCAGGCATGTCTGTTGTGCAGTGCTTGTGAGGGTTGCAGCCACAAAGGCTGCGTGGGATCCACAGGCATCTATAGCGCATACAATACTTAGGTCTGCTTCAAACTTTCCCAGCGAGCTGCTTTCCGCAAATCATCAAACCAGCTTTGGACGAAAATCAGCGGAAACACAGTTGGAGCAGGTTTTCATGGTGCATGTAGGCACAGGGTTAACTGTTACAATCCCAACGCGCACGCAGGTGAAACTGATGCTGGTCCTTTTGAGAGGGATGTCACAGAGAAGCTGGCATCTGGTGATCCTAGGCTCGCATTTTCCTGTGTCAAAGATTTGTGGGGGCACTTGCACGAAAAATTGTTTGTAAAAAAAATTACATGTTGCTTAGATTTCTCCAAGGAAGCATCAGCTGATAGCGCAATGCGTTCTGCAAAAGCAACTTTTCTGGAAACTTGACATTTTTCAGCACAATTTTGAAATGATGTGTGTGTGTGTTTATTTAGACACGCTATGGCACATTGGATGGGAAATCAAATCAAGGAAGCAAAGGGGCACACAGGAACTTGGACAGCGAAGTTGGCCAGATATGTCCCTGGCAATTCATCCAGAGATTTCTTTCGAAATGCTGACTTGCCCTTGGCCCGCTAACAACATTTAGCAAATTCTGTCTTTTCCCACATGGTTTTGAAATTTCTCCTGAACTTGTGGGCGCATTTAGGGTTGTTGAAATTTCTCCTCAATGTGTTTTGTAGGTACCTTCAAAGATCAAACTGCCTGTGAAAAAGTCAGATGGGAGTTCTGGCGAAGAGATTTTTCCACTGCAGCTCCCTGAACATGTGCTGGAGTATTTGATTACAAAGTGCAGGATTCAAATAGATGATGCTTTGGTAGAACGCTATTGGAGACACCTTACTCGCGTTGGTGATACTTTAGCCGTGAGCAGTAAACAATTTCGGGAAGGTCTGGAAAAACCTGTGTGGGCGCTTGGCCTATATGGGGATGAAGCTTGTATGGGATTGATCAATGCACCCAAAAACCAGATCTTGGGGATCTACATGTCCATTGTCCATTTTCGACCTACAGCAACCCGTTTGTCGCGCTGGCTTCTTTTCAGCATTGAATCCGAAAAGTACCTTTCGATAGAAGCAACAATTTATCCAGTGCTGGAAAAGATCGTGGAATCTTTCAACTGGTTGACTGACGTCGGCATTGAGGGGAGACACTGTTTGGTTTCGGAGCTGAGAGGTGACCAGAAATACTTTTACCAGGTTTTCAAACACAAATCGTGGTGGAAAGACACTCAACTTGTTTGGATAGTTTTATTTTTTCTTACTCTGTAGCTGTCGTCCTTTTAAGAAACAAACTTCCAAGTTACAGCATGTGTGCAATTCAAAGTTTAGAGGCCAACTTCCGAGTTACAGCACGTGACAAAGTTTAGAAGCAAACTTCTGAGTTACAAGAAAACAAAGGATGGGATGGAGAGGACAAAAACTATACACTTGTGCACATGAACAGTAGCTGAGGCAAACAACGTGTGCTTTCGTTGCAAAGCTACTTGCAAAGTGAATAAGCCAAACAATTACTTGCTCTATGACGGCTCCTGGTCTGGCACTGTTCGTACAACCCAGGAGTTCATAGACCAAGAGCTCAGGCACAATCGGCAAATTTGCTCTTTGGCCGTGCTTCATATGTTTGCAATTTGGAAGCCGGTTTGAATGAGTGTTCACTCGAATTTAAAGTGTGTGTGCGTGTGCCTGGATGTGTGCTGCATGCCTTTTGTGCAGTCTGTCATTTCTAGATGGGAATGATTCAAAAATGAGGTACCAATAACCCCACAAAATTGTTCATATTCTTATCATGTTGGCTACTCATGCTTCAAGCCATCTATTTTCAGTGGCCATATTTTTGATCGATACCCAAACAGAACAAAGGCCCTTTGACGAGTCTACGCTTCTTCTCCGTAAATGCCATCAAAGCCTGTACTCTACACATTCTCAATTTGGGCCTTTTAGGTGTTTCAAATGGATCTGTGTTGCAACATGGCTTTAAAAGAGTGTTTTATTTTTTGCGGGGGGAGTTGGCAATATTTGTGGTTGATTCATTTGATCCAAATTTGTGATTGGTTGATGTTTAGCCCCTAAAACACCAAGGAGAATGCTTTTGGACATGCACGTGTTTGGGGATGTTACTGATGACTACAAGCCAGCGATCAACACAAGCTTTGACGATTTTTCCTCATGGTGCAAGGCACATGGAATTTCTACCTCACAGAAAAGATGGTCTATTCGATCACTTACCCGAGATGGCTATGGCTCGTATTTGAACTGTAAAGGCTTTAACGCACGCGTCATGACTGAATGGCTCCTCCACAAGGTCACCCAGGTTAACTGTGAAGTAGATCGCTCTCAATTGGTGGAAGATGAACGGGCTCCTATTTGTGAATCAGCATTGATACTCAATTTGTTTTGATTATATTTTAGGGAAACCCCCAAAGTACAATGTACAATGTTCTGGAACTATTCCATACTATTTCGCTTGGAATGGGAGCCAACTAAATTATCAACGTCACTCCCATTCCAAGGAGGGGCATCAGCCGCTACTTTGGACTGTCAGAGCAGGCCTCGCGTTTCTTGATGCCCGGCTCAATGGTCACAGCATGCAGCGGCGGAGGTTGTCTTCAAAATTAGGGCTAAGGGATATTTGGGGTTTGGGGATTGGTCACTTCTTTGACATAATTTCTCAGAATAGCATATCGGTACAATTAAAGGTCCATCAATCTTAGATTCTTCGCCCCAAGATCCTAGGACTCAATCTGAAGCTGATGACATCGAGAGGGCTGGAAAGGCATACTTGCTGGCCTATCGTCAACTCAACCATATGAGCATCAGGCTGGATTCCAGTGGTGGCTTAACTCCTGAAGTTTGAGCCCTGTGTAGTGTAGTTGTTGTTTTTCCCAATTCGGGATTTCCAAATCTATCCTAATCACTGGGGGATCCCAAAACAATACTAAAATGGTCTTTCGATGAATTGGGAGTACTCCATTTTGGAAAACCGCTGTTTGGTGGACAACCCCCTAGCCCTGACAGGTCCAGGAAACTCGCATGGGTACTTGTACCCAAGTGGCATGTGTCTTGATTGATTTCAAAACTTTTTGACAATATTTGCATGCACACATGCATGTGCAACACTGAAACTATTCTGATGTGTTTGCGTGGCTTTTCTGTTGCCCCTTGAGGTGATGTCACATGTGCTGAAGCATGACGTGCAAGCCCGACGATGCAACCCACGCTTTTACCACACTTTCTGTGATGAAGATGGCATGATGGTCTTGAAGAAATGGGCTAGAAGGGCTGATCCCAAACACCGTGAAAATGGTATTATGCGGATTGCCAGGCTTAGGATGAAGACTTTGTCTTGGCGATTGAGACATGTGAACCAAAAACGCAAGAGATAAAAAAGACTGAGTTCTCTGATGGGGGATGATGGGTACATGTGTGGTCTTCTGAAACTGTATACTTAACAAATCTTAGCGTTTGTTAATAAAACTTAGGCTTTACAGAACGTGGAAGTTTAACTTCGACATTCAACAACTGCCAAGTAAAACATCGACTTTGGAAGGCTAGGGTATATATATAATGTGTGTATGTCCGTATATTGTAACGAAATGCAAAGCAATGGGAATGCAATGCGAATTAATGCATTGCATTGCAAAGCATGCATGCACTATATGTAGGCATGGATGGATAAACAAATGCATGCATGCATAATATATTGCATGTTTGTTGTGTCAATTGTGTTGTTTAGCATTGTATAATGTTGTAGTGTAATATCATTTAACACAATTCAGTGTATAATGTAATGTAGTGTAATGTAATTTAATGTAATGTAACGCAGTGATGTAATGTAATGTAATTTAATGTGATGCAATGACAGTATTTTTGTATGCTATGCGAATCTATGTATGTAGGCAGTGCAATATACTGTGATGTATGATACCGTACTGTAATATAAAGATTGTACTTTAATGTAATGTAATGCCAAGTATGTAATGTTTGTTTTGTATGTGATTTATGTAACGCGATGCAATGCAATACAATATAATGCAATTCCATACACTGCAATACAATGTAGTGTAACATAATTTATGTGTGTAAATGTGTATGTTTGTATATACGTTTGTTTAGAACTGTGCAGCCCAATGCTTTGCTTAAAGAAGTTTTGATCCAGTCAAAATCGGATCCACCACGAGCTGGAAAGGACTCAGGGGTTAGGGCACCCCAATGGACCTGAGGAAACTGCGCTTAGATCACTTGCAAGCAGAGAACCGCTTGTTGCGGACGAAAATTAGGCATGGTTGTACTGGGACTCCCAGTGGTTTGCATCCCAGATATCCCAGTTTTTGATCGCCGGAGATCCAGTGGACTAAGTCTAAGTGGGATACACCCGCAATTTTTTGTTGGATCCAATCAATTTGGTCCCAATGTATATATATATGTGTGTGTGTGTAATTTGCAGTGCTGATTTGAGTGATGCAAATCATGTGAAATAACATGTCTTGGAAGAGGATCTTCTTTGTCACTAAGACCATTGGTTTGCGTGTCACATGCATGCGCAAGTGCATGGTAAAAGGCAACACCACAAGGTTCACTAGCTGTTGTTTCGATTTTGGTTGTAAGCACTCTTAGGCATTGACATGGATACTTGGGGGCGCATCCCACTTAGTAAATGGATGTAGATGGGTTACACCGCCAGTTAGATATGGAAGATTCTCATTTATACATGGTTTATACACCACTTACTCAGTGGGATGCACATTCTGCAGATGATCAGTGGCCCCCAGCCAGGGAGAAAGGGACGACATCGCGAACCCAAGGCCGTCGCACGCAAAAGTGTCCTGGATGCAAAGGGGCGGGCAACTCGGAGTCATTTGCACAGTAGTGGGGGTTATATAACCATCAATTCCATCAAGAATGGGAATTAGTAATAATGATTACTTATTTCATCATATTACATCATATTACATCATATTACATCATATTATTGTATATTATGCCCTATAGCTATTATTCCATATGATTCCATTTATTGATGATGACCTATCGTATGACCTATTGTAGGTGAATGATGCCAGCTATGAAAAACCTGCATCATCAACCAATGGAGCCCACTGTTTCTGGGGTCAGGTCGCCAGGTCGCCCGGTCGTAGCCACTGAATCGAGGTCAATGATTCACACAGCGTCATCCTTTGATGGCTCAGAGTTTCCCGAGGACGGTGAAGCCGCAGCGGCACATGGACACCATGGGACACCACTCCCGTGATGATTGGTGATTAAAATTACTTTACTTCGTGTGATCCCCACAATAACATTTATACATTTTGTTACTGGCAAATCTTCTGGCATTCTATCTGACATATCTTCTGGCATTCTATCTGGCATATCTTCTGGTATTCTACCTGGCGTATCTTCTGGCATATGTTCTGGCATTCTATCTGGCATATCTTCTGGCAAATCTTCTGGCATTCTATCTGGCAAACATTCTGGCACTTTATCTGGCATATCTTCTGGCCTTCTATCTGACATCTTATCTGGCATTCTATCTGGCATACCTTCTGGCATTCTATCTGGCATACCTTCTAACATTCTATCTGGCATATCTTCTGGCACTCTATCTGGCATATCTCATGGCATTTTATCTGGCATATCTTCTGGCATTCTATCTGACATTCTATCTGGCATCTCTTCTGGCATTCTATCTGACATTCTATCTGGCATCTCTTCTGGCATTCTATCTGGCCGTTGAGGTCCAGCGGTGCGCACTGAGCTCGGAAGGCCCCAGGTTGAGGTCCAGGGGTGCACACTGAGCTGGGCAGGTCCCAGGTTGAGGTCCAGCGGTGCACACTGAGCTGGGAAGGTCCCAGGTTGAGGTCCAGCGGTGCACACTGAGCTGGGAAGGTCCCAGGTTGAGGTCCAGCGGTGCACACTGAGCTGGGCAGGTCCCAGGTTGAGTCCAGCGGTGCATACTGAGCTGGGAAGGTCCCAGGTTGAGGTCCAGCAGTGCACACTCGAGAAACTGGAGGAGGAGGAGGCGGAGGAGGAGGAGGAGGCGGAGGCGGAGGAGGAGGAGGACGAGGAGGAGGACAACAGCTCTGATAAAATCTAACAACCCTCACCTGGCAGGTGGGGAAATATATAACATATATCAGTGTGCATATGTATATATACACATGTATACTTACCATAAATACAGGCATCTATAGATGCAGAAGGTTGATTTGTGGCACCCCAAAGAAAAAAACAAACACAAATCAGCTGCAGGAAGAGGAGGACTTGGCAGCACGAGCTCGCGTGAACACCACCGAGTCCGACGACGAGTCGCCCAAATCACCCAAGGACGCGTTGATTCCCACGGAAAGGCCCGACGGCATCGAAGAAATGGAATGGTATGGGATGGTAGGGTTTTCGGACTCTACATTTTTGTCTATATACTGAATGCCTTCATGATGGCATAATATGTGTTTGTTTTTTCATTGCTACCAAGATTTGACCCGGATGAATAGCTAGGTATTCATACATATCATGCATGGGGTTTTTGCATCCGTGACACCTGAGCAGCTCATGGTGCCCTCAAACCGACTCCGGTAGTGAGAGAAACGACCTCCTTACTGTAAGTTGGGCCACATACATGTGTAGGATGCGGTTAGCACAACATGGTTCTCTATGTGCAGATGCTACTCTAGAGATTACCAGAGTGTTCCCTGCGGATTCTCTGACCCCATGGGCCAGTCACCCAATCAATTAATCATTCCATTCATCACTCGATCAACCAGCCAACCGGTCCACAGACGTTTCCAGTTGGCTGCTTGAACTTGTCTGTCAGTAGAGTTCTTGGTGCCGTAATGTGGATATGGGGTCAGAATATGTTTTCACACAGCAGAATTGAATACGCAGGAATTGCATTTGGATGACGGGCATGTTTTTTTCCCGGCGATAACGTTAAATTGTCAAATACCCACCCAAAAACATCCCCAAACGAGGGTGGAATGTATTAGATTGAAACATGTGAGCGGTATTCTATGCTAAAGAGATGTAAAGAGTATAGTCTATATTGGATGCTATCGGATATTGTACACTTATTATCACTTAGTTATTTACATCTCTCTATGTCTCTCTCTACATTTTATGGTGGGTCAACCATGTTGAACCAATAATCGGGGCAACACTTCGACCCGGAAACAACGCGTGTCGATATCCAGAGGTTGATGGCCGACGATAGGCCGGGGGGGCCCTGACGGGTGGTTGACTTATTCATAGTGAATAGGAAGTTTGATACCGGTATGTTTAGGATATATTACTAGTTATAATGTCAGTGGTATTTTGTTAATGTTTAGGAAGTATAAGGTTTTGGATCCAACACTGCAACTTCCTGAGGATTGTTCATTGGAGGGTGATATTGTTGTCTATTTTATCTTGAAGATCCATTACCCCCCCGGAAAATCTACTTACCTCGACAAAAAACGGAACAAATTGGGTGATGATGGCACTGGACTACAGCTGGGTCGAAAACCACCAACCGTGATGGAGAAAGCCGTGTCGGGTTGCACTTGTGGTCAGCCAATTGTAGCAACCACATGGAGGCAATTGGGAGAATTGCAATCTTACATTACATGAGTGCACCGTGAAAGCCTGAAGAGAGGTCATTGTTGGTTAAGTCACTTTTTCAGTGTTTGGTTGTTTTTGATGTTTTTGGCAGGTCTCACCTTGTAAAAAGAGTCAACCTGAATCTTTTTACAGTAGAGGCAACCACCAGTCACAGCGGATAAATTGCATGTGCTCACCGGGATCGTCCCAGTCTCACGTGCAACGCAGTCATGGCAACAACATGACTCACGCGAAGACGGCCACAGAGAATCCAGACGCAAATTCTCGGAAAAGCAATTTGAGAGCAACTCGAATTGTGGGCGCCTTGGCCTGAAGCTGGCAAACAGTATTTGATTGGCTGGCATTTCGTTACACATCCTTGATTTTTCATGATTTATTTACTATAATTAACTATCTATAACTATACCTTTGTGATATATATATATATATATTACAGATTGCAGTATGTATTCTTTGTCCCTTTTGCAGAGTCTTCGGGAAGAGCAGTCTAGTCGACATAGGTGACTTATTTTTCTTTTATTGGGAGCTTTAGTAGAGACGCATCCAAGATAGCAAAGCTGCATGAAAGGTGCCCACCGGTTTCCATTGTTAGTTTTTCATTCTATTTCATTCTCATTTGCGATGACCGTACCAAGGACAAGTAGATAACGAGGTCGACATGGGTGCGGGCGGTACACCAAAGACTTCTTTCTTCATCAGAGAGATTTGGATGCGACACAGCATGGGCTGCCTGGTTTTGATGCCAGCGGGAGGGCCTCCAAATGAATTCCTGATGGGCATGCATGAGAAGGTATGAGAGTAAGAGATATCATGCGATTAAGGTAGCACAGATTAGCACAGCACAGCATTGCATGTTTTTACTAACTGCTGACATTTGACACGGAACGCTGAGCGGTGTCAGACTCAACACAGCATCAAAAGGTCACAAAAAATCCACATGTCAAACCCACTTTTGGAGCTTCTAGTGGTCTACTGTGGATGTCTATTGCGCTTCAATGAATTTGTGAGCTGTGATTCAGAAATTCGCCAAGTTTATTGGTGCTTTTCTGAGGCGGCTCTGCGAGGTCGCAACAGCAGGTGGGGCGCATGGAATACACACAGACATCATCAGGCATACATATATATATAATTAAATATATAATAAATATTCTTACACAGTCATGCATCACGCCATAAAATCTGCTACCCTATGGGTTTGTCTGAAAGGAGGGTACTTGTATAGTGAATCTTCCAAGTCCACTGGTTCATCATTTTTCCGTCCAATGAAATGGCCAGAACTTGTGGGCACCCCAAGTTTCAGACAAACCTATACTGTGATGGGAATTAGACCCAGCTATTACCAAGAAACCAGCTATTGGAGGCACGGACCTTCCAAGTCGATTCCATGCTTCCGGCTTCCGGGGTGGATTTGCATTTACGAGGGCCCTCTTCATTGTCCTCCTCGTCATCATCAGCATCATCATCATCATCATCATCATCACCACTGATTTGTTTTTAATAGCAGAACATATCAGAACTATTATTGGCATCAACACGTCCAGCAGCATCTTACGCAATGATATCAATGTCATTGTCAGGCTGGTAGTGGTCCATGATTGTCATGCCGCCATGCCTTCGTTTTGCAATGTCATTTTGGCGGAAGGAGATCGCCATGGCCGCCATGGTGGTATGTTTTTGTTTGAAGAAGAGGTAGCCCAGAGAAATCTTATGGTCTATATTGTGTTTCAAGTAATCCTGGAATCCTCAATAAGACAGAAATGTTTTTCATTGATCACTACTTTGGTATGTTTTTACCAACTTATTACTGTAGCAACTTATTTTCCAAGGTTTTCTACACAGCTCTTCACAAAGTCCCCCAGTTTTTCATTGCAAATTGACTTCGGTGATTTCCCAGCCAGTCATGTCAGTCATGTGCCAGGGTGGTGCCCCATAGTTGGCTAACTTGCTTTATAACTAGCTTCATCACGCTCAACTATGGATTATGGATGATTATGGTGATTACAACTATAATGCTATATAATGTTATATGCTAAATTGTATAGTGCTATATACTATATACCTAGGTGGGAAAAACAATGAACAACATACACGTTTTGATAAACTAGCTTACAACTAAGGGATACTCACCCCAACATCAAGGGCCTCCTTCAGGGCCCCGTTAGGTGGCTGCCCTGCAACGTTCGCAAACCTCGGACCGTCTCTTGGAGAAGGGGCCTATATCGGGATGTCCTTCGGTGTATTGAAGCCATGAAAGCATGGAGATTTAGTTGGATTTAACATGATTTAATCATGGAACATGGAATATGAATGCAATGTTAGTGGAATCTTCCTGCCCAATGATTGATCAATGATACTGGGAGATGTGGTATTCACTTGGATTTATAGCATATTTACTGAGATATTTGATCTTGGTGTAATGTTTGCGGAATGTTAATGACATCTTAATGGAATCTTCATGGGATATTTCCTGGGATATCAGCATATCAACCATGTATAATGGATATATTGATATACTTGGATGTGAATGGAATGTGTATTTACCCAACAATACGGAAATGTCGGCATAAATATCGGTGAATGACAGCCACGGCCGGTGGAACATGGTTTCAGATCTTGCGACTTGATCTACGCCGGGATGTCGCAATAAATACGGGATAATTACCCTCTGGTAAATTAACACCCTGAAAATAGCCAAGTTTTAATGGGAAACTAATCTTCCAATCCCTATCTGCCAGGGTCTATGTTAATTTACCAGAGGGTATTGTTTTGGGGGGGGATATATCCCAAATGGTAGATTTGATTTCACCCTTTGTATTCGGGATGTTGGGGAAAAAACCTGTAAAAGATCAGAAAAGATCTGAAACGTTGAAGGGAATTCAACAGCCCAGACATGCGCAGACCCAATAGGAAGCCTTATATTGTTAGAGTCTCTGGATTCAAAACATGCGGTGTTGCCATGTTTTGTTTTTTCTTGACTATTTTATTGTGTCCAATTCAGGAATGACATCAAACCTGAGGCAGCTGTGTCAACTCTGGTTTGAGCCAGACGATACCCACAGAAATTGAGAATGCCGGGCCTCACGAAGTGGGCAAATTCACAGCGAGTGTTTCTGAATGGTGACGGGATCCAAGTGAATGAGTGAATGAAGGATTTGGTTAGGGCCAGGGGGTTCAATTTGTGTGTCTCTTGCGTTTCCCCTGTTCCATTTTTCCCGTAGTTGAGATATGTTCCAAAATATGTTCAGTGAGATAATGATCCCCAAATGATTCATTGTTCAGGGGTTCTCAGCCTGGTGATGTTGTTTTCCAGGCTTGGAGCGAAGATCCTCCATGACATCCGAAGATGATCAGGCGGAGATGGTTGGCGCGTCAGGGGCCCCGGGGAGTGGGTAAAGACAGGACATGGGAAACCAAAAAGTGGAGGCGGATGCTGATGATGATGATGATTATTATTATTACTACTACTATCATTATTATTCATGAATCTCCTCATCGTTGACGTGGAACTCGTTTTAAGGATTTATGTATCTACTCTGGACAGGTTACTCCCGCAGGATCTTGCAGCTTTCGGTGACTCAAAATCTATGTTCATGGATGTTCATGGTATGATATGTGCCGCCCTAACCCAGTAGTAGCAGACAAATGGAGGGGAGCAACCAGTAACCCCAGGGATCAGTCAAGAAGACCGACGATATCGGACAGAACATGTTGATGTTGTGTGGCGGTGTGCACAATAGAAACAGAACATGCACAGGAATATACAATGGAGAGGGAGAGAGAGTGTTCATTAATCATCATTAATCATTAGTTATTGTACTATATTTTACTATTATCCCTCAGTATACCTAAATATAATCATAAATATGTACG